TTAATTTTTTTTTTTTTTACAATATTGAAATTTCAACTCAGGGCCTTCCTCTTGAGCCACAATCCTCTTTTTGTTTTAGTTTGTTTTAATATTTGATCTCACACTTTTTGCCCAGGACAGCCTTGGATCACAATCTTCATAACTACTTCAAGTAGCTGAAATTATAGGTATGTAACACCACACCAGTTTTATGACAGTCTCACTAACTTTTTGCCCAAGGGGCCTGAAATGGTGATCTTCCTATCTTCACATCCTGAATAGCTGGAATTACAAACATGTTCCACCAAACCTGATCCTATTTTTTAAATTTCATTTCTACTTTTGTGCATTTGGCATAATGAAACAAGAACTAGATAAGTTATAATAAAGGCATAGGTAACATCTAGGCATATTAAATCTTCTGTGTGCCAAATACAAAAGACCTACCAGTATATTTTTTCTAACACAACTCCTAAAAGTGGTATTCTTACTTAAAGTTAAAATACAAAAAGGTTCAATTCGTAAAAAGTACATCCTAAACATCCACTTGGCCAAAGGTGGACCATGCTCTCTGAATAATGAACTCTGTTCTCGAAACGCATCCTTCTAAATTGTCTATGACCTAGCTGAGTAAATGGAATATGAAGTTCCTGAAGTACTGATAATTCCCTTTCTGAAAACAAAACTTCATTCATTCAAATATTTATTAAATACTTACTAATACCTGGAACTATTCTAAGTACTAAAAACTACCTACCACTTCAAATAAAATTATTCATATTTTCCTTCTTTCCTATTTTCTCTTCTTTCCTTTGATCTTCCAGGTTTCAACACTAGTGAAGCAGGGGGAGGAGGATCAAAGAGTTCAAAACCAGCCTGGGCTACATTTTGAGATTCTGTCACAAAAAAAAGGGGCTGTGAGGAGGGCTGGGTGTGTCACTCAAGTGTAGAGCATGCTTAGCAAGTGCAATCCCTGTGTTCAAACTCTAGTACTGCCAAAAAAAAAAAAAAAAAAAAAAAGGAAAGAAAAATGAAACCAAAACAAAAAGATCCAACTCAAAAGGACTTCCACAATGAGATGAAGGAGCTCCTTTGCCACCTGCTCTCACCACCAAGATATTCTGCCTAGGTGCATGGAGCCAAGCAACCACAGGCTGAACCCTTTGAAACCATGAGTCCAAATAAATCCCTTCTTCCTACAAAAAGGGTCTAGTATGTTTCTAGTGGGTGTTTTGCACAATTCTGCCCTAGGTAATTTAATTCTACCCCCTCCAACTTCAAACCTGGAACATAGACTGTTGAGTGTGATGCCAAAACACAAATGAGAAGTAGATAAAACTACACCATATCTGGATTTTATGCTGCCCCTGGTAGAGATATTGGTTGTCTGAAAGTCTTCCTTTAGGTATACTATTTCTGTAACATTTTTTTCCAAATCTCAAAACTGTGTTTAACATTTTTAAGCATTTAATGAAGAGCTTTAACTACTATAATCCTCCTTCTGGGAAGGTGGAGGCAACCTGAGTTAAATAGCCATATCTTGTACTAAAAAAAAAAAAAAATTTTGAGCTTTGAGGGTATATATCATTCTATTTCTTCAGCATAGTTATGAGATCAATTTTGAATCAATTATTTTATTTATTTGCATTTTTCTTTTTGAGGCAGGGTCTCAACTGTATAGCCCAGGATGGTTTTAAACTCAAGATGCCTCACCTCCCAAGTGCTGGGATTATAGAGTGCTAGATCATGCCTGGCTTACATTAGTTATGAAATACCAGATGCACATTCATTATGTGCATCTCAAAGTTTACCAAAAAATGAAGCAAATATCTCTATTTCCTTCACTAGTTTTTGCATCTCCCATATTTCTACTCTGCTGAATTATTGGCCAATTACCACTTATTCTATAAGAAATGTGCTAAAGCCTGTAATTCTAGCTACTTAGGAGACAGATGTCAGGAGGATTGCGTTTCAAAGCCAGCCTGGGCAAATAATTCACAAGATACCATCTAGAAGACACCCAACACAAAAAAAAGGGCTGTGGAGTATCTCAAGTGGTACAGTACAAGTGTGAAGACCGTAGTTCAAACCCCATTCCACCCTGCTCCAAAAAAAAAAGAGTGGTTTTGTAAATGATGTGCTTTTATTTTTGTTTTGTTTAGAAAGTCACTAAAAACCTCTAATTTCAAATCTATCTGCCAACCTTACTTATTTTGGAAGCTTAAAAGTATCCAACTTCAAATACAAATTTACTTCCAGAGTGTTCATAAGATATTAAAAGTTTAATCAAAGAAATCTGAATTAGCAAAGTCCTACTTCAGAAGATGTGCCAGATATAGGCCTGCATTCTCAGGTTTTTTCCATACACTATAGGATTAGCTTTTACCAGCCTACCAATCTCATTAAATCACTGCTAATTGAAAACATCACCTGTGCATCATTAGTACTAGTTTCTGAAAATCACCGACTTCCCAGTTTAGACCAAAATGGCGACTTGCCAACAATACTAGGTTACATATTCCAAGAATTCTGACAATTTTGATACAGAAGGTAAACTATCATTTCAGTACACAAAGATATGGTATCTACCACAATAGAACAACAGAATTAAAGAAACACTAGTAAGTTTCCTGGTTTGTTTTCCTGTGACTAAAGAAACCCACACTTAACCCTTTATAGTGCTGAGCCTCAAAACTTCTTTCTAGGTCCAAAATGTCTACCAGTTCATGTCCACCCCCATCCCACCCCCTTGCAGTTTGGCTTCCCCATTCAAGCATCACTCATCACCTCTCTATCCTTTGAGTTCCTTTGTCTGCTCATCCCATCCCTCACTCCAAGCCTAGTTTCAAAGCAGGACAATCTCTCTAGTCCTCAATCCCCAGCACAAAAAGACAAGCACAGACACTTTTCTGGTGAAAGGCTTTGCTGTTGCTGACTTTTGACAAAATTCTGAAAGCACCAGAATTCTATGAACTAGTAAATAGACGTTGGGTATCCCTTCCCCCTTTTAGCTCACAATGGTACAGCTTATGAAAATTTTTCCTCCTTCTGACCCTACCTTTGATAAAGGCTCCTTTTCTTCTAAAATAGCCAGCGTATGCCCTAGAAATATCCCCAATTAGAGCTGATGATGAATCAAAGCAGAACTGTTATTTGCCTCCTGTCTTTACAGACAGACAGGTAGATGGATAGATAGACAGACACAAAATAGATTTGGTTTGCATTTTTAAGGATATACACAGCAGATGCTATTAAGTTCACTAAGCTTCAACCCTCTCAGGCATGAAAACTGGCTTTTTATCATCGTCTTCTAGTCTTTAGCCACAGTAACCTTTTTAAACATGCAATCTAAGGCTAAGGGTATAGTTCAGCAGCAGAGTGTCTGCCTAGTATGCATGAGCCTCAGCCCCACAAAAAAAAAAAAAAAAAAGCTATTAACCTAAAAAGTCACTTCTCTGTTTATAAAGCTTCACCTTTTCAGTATCATTTCTCACTGTACTTCTCTCTCTTTTAAAATTCACCTAAGTTTCCTTTCCCTAAACTCCCTCCAGCTGTCCTCTACACCCACTCAACTACTAACATCCACTTTTTTTTTTTCAGTGCTGGGGATCAAACCCAGGGCCTAGTGCATGCCACATAAGTGCTCTACCACTGAGCTTCAAACCCAACCCAATCATTCACTTTTACACATAAGTTGACACTGAATTCACATAATGATTTTGCCAAATAGGGGGAATTGTCTCCCTCTCCCCATTTTCCAATGGAAGAAACTGAGGCTTAAATTATTTGAAATATTAAATAATGTGTTCAAGGTTACACAGCTAGTAACCCATTCAATCCATTCAAAACTTCATGAGCATTTAAGGGCTTGGTTACATTTTAACAGGGGGAAAACATAAAAAATAAGCAAATTATATCCAAGTTTTATCCTTCTTTATCATCATTCAGCGTCTGGCATAAAGCAGCACCTATTTAAAACCAATCCAAAGCTCCCATTCAATGGTCTGAAAATGTATCAAGTAACTACCAATCAATTGACTTCACAAAATGAACCTGAAAAGGACTCAAAGCTTTTGCAATGATAAGAGCCTCCTGGCCAGAAGATGAATAATTAGACTTCTGCATGGTTATTTTTTATCATTTAGGTCTATACTAAAATGTGACTTCTACAGAGAGAACATCACTGATCACTTGACCTAAACTAGATCCCATATATTTTCATTACAGCACTTCTTTCTGAAAATTCCTTACCTGTTTGTATTCTCTTCTATTTCTCCCCCCTATAAGAATGCAAGATACACTCCTGCAAGAATCTTATTCATCTTGTCACCTAGCATTAACAAGGTCTGGCCAGGGTAGGTACTCGTACATACAGTTTTTAAAATATCTAAAATAAGTAGGTACTGATGACTCACACTTATAATCCTGGCTAATTAGGAGGCAGAGATCAGAAGGATCAGTTTCATGCCAGCCCTGGGCAAAGAGCTCATGAGACCCTATCTCAGGGAAAAACAAAAAAAAAAACAAAAACATAACAAAAGTGGCTCATGTGGTAAGAATCCCTGCCTAGCGAGCATGAGGCTCCAAGTTTAAATTTTATCACCAAAATAAAATAAAATAACTAAAAAGGTCAGGTATGGTGGCTTACTATGTAAGCATGGCTACTCAGGAGGTAGAAACAGGAAGATCAAAGTTCTAGGCCAGCCCAAAGGTTACTAGATCCTATCTCAAAAAAAAAAAAAAAAAAAGCCAGGTATGTGGTACATGCCTGCTGCAATCCCCAGCTACTCAGGAGGTAGAAA